TACCGTCCGAAAATAATTTAACACCTTCACATCGGCGTGTATCACCGGTGACTTATACTTTCGTGTCTCATCGGGCGGCGTGTACCACCGCGCCGCCCCATTGCGACGAACCCAAATAGCAGCGCCGGCGTGTACCACCGCGCCGCCCCATTGCGACGAACCCAAATAGCAGCGTCGGCGTGTACCACGGGTGCCCTCATACTTTTGTTTCTCATCGGGCGGCGTGTACCACCGCGCCGTCCCATGGCGAGGAACATAAATAACAGCGCTATTAAATGTTTTAAATGTTTAATTTTTATTTTTTAAACTAAACGCCCTACGAATAAACTGTAAATATAAAAAAGTTTCGTTTTGTCATTCCCTACGAGCTGATATATTTTTTGAAATTTACACCTCCGCGCCTTTTAGAATTCTCAGCAAAAATCGTCCCGTTGGCAAAGGTTTAAGAGCAAGAAAATAGATTTGAACGAGAATTCCGCCCATCCCTACTTCTACATATGAGACATTTGCAAATATCATTTTGCAATTTTATTTCTTCTTTTGCTGTTTTCAATCTTAGAATTTAAATTCCTCCGTTAAAACTTAACTCTCAAAAGCAATGAAGTTTGTCATTCTGACGCGCATTACTTTCAAAAGTACCGAACGTAGAGTTACAAATTCCACGATAGCGTTGTCAGCTTTTCGGGGATGGTTAACAACTGGGAAATTCAAACAAACGACGAAAGAGTCAACAATGTCTGCCAACGTCTCCCAGAGTCAACGCTGAAGTTAATCGCCTTGGCCTGTCAATGATGGGTTGTCACGTACACGCGTGCGTCGCACGCGTCGGTGCGCACACGTACGGAAGGATTGCTGGATGCAATGGCCTTATGAGTCGGTACACCGTTAAAGACGTCACTAATGCAACCGCTGCTGCTCGTTGCTCCCTCGTGCATCGATGCACACTCGCTGCGTACCACAGCAGCGAAACAAAGGGAGAGAGGAGTGCACGGTACGGAGAGCAGTATGGAGCACCGATGCATTCGCGCAAAATGCAAGTACGAGTTTACGTTAGAACGAGGACACAGACGGACGCGTTTGCCCCGCGATCGTCGTGATTCAATTGGAAACGCGACGGTTCTGGCGCTCGATCGTCGACCCAATGAGTCGCAAAGTGTACGGTTTGGTTCGACGACGTCCAATCGTGACGGGATTAATTAGTGCAGTGGCTCTTAACCTTTCCGAGCTTGTGGCGCGGTTTAATCGTGAATTATACATAAATGTTAAGAGACAAGACCTGTTACAGAAAAGACATAAGAAAAAGACATGTCGTAGTTCTTAATTGTTAATAATTACATGTGATCACACACGCATATATCGAGGAGAAACAGGCTTGTTACGGTTTTTCATCTTTGACAATCATGTAAAAATACAAAGATAAAGAAGACATGTCATTCTTGATTGAAAAGAGTTATATATAAATACATACAAACAAGACCAGTTACAGCTTCTTATCGTGAATAATAATATATTTATAATTATAAATGGTAAAATAAACTTATGACCTGTAATCTTCACATATAAATATCAAGAAGAAAATGATGTATTACAGTGTGTAATTCTTCGAAAAATAATGGATAAAACTTTGAATAACGAATCAAAGATAAACAGATTTCCATAACACTATTTATTGTATATTATAGAACGTTCTTTTTTTGGATAACTTTCCGGTTATCGTAATCGGAAGGATATACCCACTGAAATGAACGAATAAATAAGCAAATAAATTAGATTGGCTGCCAAACATTCGTGGGATAGCGCAATCGGTTTCACGGCACGGTAGAGCGATTAATTAGCGTCATTCAATAAGCGACCATTCGAGTAGCCATCGCAGTTCGTTGCACTTGACTCGTACTCGGAATATCACCATCAGCGAAACACTGTTGTTCAAGCAGGTACGAATTATCTTTTTCAACGAATTCATTAACGAACTATCTTTTTCTCGCTGTCTCCCACTCAAAGGGTTAATTACACTTTACTCAAATATTTCAATAATTTCGAAAGCATGCTAATCAACAACTTGGAAGTACCAGGTGTTCAACACCTGGAATTTTCATAGTAATAAACAAAATAAGGATAAGTTCATGATGTTGTCACAATCGGTTCCTGCTTCCTATACTTCGTGGGCATCCTTTCAGGATTCAAAGCACAGGGATGCGGTTAATATATCGCAAGATCGATCGCCGGTGTTCCAACTTACGATGAATCATTCTCATGACTGGCAAACCCTAATGCCTGGTCACGTTTTAAACTCCTCCGTATCGCCCCTCCATTCCTTCTTCTTTGTCAGCGATGCCCCGCAGAATCCTCTGATAAAAAAGAAATCGAATTTATTACGACACCTCGTGACTCGAGGTTTCCATAGGGGCGCGAAAGTACTGATTAATCTTCTTCAAATCGTCACGGTTTAGATGAAATCTTAAGCGTTCCGCTATCGAGTTGATTTATATTCCAACAGGGGAACTGTGTACCGTTTGGTTGCATCAAAACAACACTGTAGGAATTAACTTACTTCGATTTAAGAGTATCCAGAATGAAAAGAATATTGATTTAATGCTGTACACAATTGAAGATACTAGTGACTTAAATTTATTTCGTTTATTAAATATCGATAATCGTCCAATTAGAGAATTATGGATGAATTATGGACGAATGGATGATTGACATAGTGATCTACATAAATTCCTTGGAATCCGTACTCACTATGTAGTAAAGTAGTCAAAATCGTAAACATAGCGTCTAACGTAGTATTTTCTGGAAGAATTTGACAACAATCACCTTTACATTGTTTGTCTCGAACATTTAATAAGATTTTTCCGAATGATTTTTATGAAGCTTTGTATACGTGGGTTTTTGGAGGCGCTGTTTCCAAGTCTGAAGTCAGAATTCAGAAATTCAAAATGGCGGATCCAACATGGCGGCACAAAATGCGAAAGGTGAATGGATTTGAATGAAATTTGGTATACATGCATTTCTGGAGGCGCTGTTTCCAAACCTGCATTCAGAATTCGTAAATTCAAAATGGCGGATCAAATATCGCGAAACAAAATGCGAACAGTGACTGGATTTAGATGAAAGTTATACCCACGTGTACAATAGGTTGGCTCATGTCGTCAGTAGTTTTAGTATTTAATACCTTTCGTATAAAATCAAACATCATGGATCCCCGACAACATGAAACTTCTCAACTCGGATCACACCGTCGTTTATCTCGCGTTGGCTTGATTCGTGTCACGGTACGCTGACAATTGAGCCGACCAGAACGAATTGGGTTGTCGTTGTTAAAACGAATAACTGTCAGCATCGGTGCCAATGAAGAACGATCGCGGGTGATGTGATTACAGCGACGAACGAGGATCGAACGTGAGACCAACGTGGCCGAATTAATTTAAGAAGACAGTGGAATTGATTTACGGATGCTCCGTGGCCCTTAATGCAATTTACCGCGGGAAAAGCTGCCACGGCGTTGCTGCGATTATGCCATTAAATTCATGGATCTGGATTGTTCCCGAACGGCAACGATATGCGTGGCTCTGAATTATGGATTGAACGCGATTGGATCGTTAAGGTTGATCGTTTGTTGTATAACATACCATCGAGCTTATGAATATTGATTGGGACTGGTTGTGAAAAAATGTTTGGGAGATATATTAAAATAGTTGGTATTTATTAAAAAAAAATTCTAGATTATTTTAACAAGTTTCCTAAGGTTCGTTGGCACAAAGTCATTCAACAGACAATTTTAGTATTTTTTGTTTCGCGTGAATTTGCACGAATGCCTCGAAAATAAATCACTCTGTTTACCCACTAATTACAAATCAGCATGAACGTAGACGCGGGCAATAAATTGCATAATTCCAGCCAGCTGGCAGTAGCGTGAATCGAGATAATACAGCTGTTTCGCGATCTAGCTGTGGACTTATCGAGAGATCTTCATTGCGCTAATTTAGATGTGCTGTACAATCTGTTCTAAAATTTTCTCGTTACTGCAATCACTCGTCTATCGATTTCCTTCTTCAAACCATTACTTTTCTATTTAGTTATTCGCAGAGTTCTTGTACACGATACACAAGTTGTTCTAGTACACAAAATTAACCACCGGTATGGCTACTGTTAAATTTGAAATTTAAAAAAAAAAAAGGGTAACTGTATCGAAAGAAACAGCTCTTAATGAATTATTTTCAAATAATTATTTCTTATTTTCATTTCTGATACAAGTCCAAATCCGAGAAATTTTCTAACGATTCGTCTCTCTATGTGACTTGTATGCAACCTATTGCAAAACGTGCACGCTTTGATTGGGAGATTATCTATTAACACGACAACGATACGGTGCAACTTTGTCCCACGATAACGTGAATTGCTGGGTGGAAAGCACGTCTGCGATCACGGTAGTGACAGATTGAGGAACGAGCAGCGGGGAATTAATCTCCTTGCGTGGTAAATGCACGCTATCACGTGCGTGTACCGTACTCGTGGTTTATTTTGTCTACAAACAGCGTATACTTCCCAGACACAGCTAAGGAGTTTGAGCTGGTACAGCGTTACGACTGTATTTGCTTAATGAGCCAACAGATCATCGTTTTATTGAGTCGCGGCCAATGGCAGCGCAAACGTAATAGAAAAGGATGACGGGGGATATTTATGAGCGTTTATCGTCGTCCGTTCAATTAAATGTTGCAGATAAGCTTGCAACGGTTGCTTGACAGAGATCGAATCAAGCTTGTAGGAAGGTGGACTAAATTGGATTGTTTCATTCATTTCTTTTGACATCGAACTATTTTATAATATTCGTAACGAACAAATTGACGATATTTTTGTTCTTTTTTCTAAATCCTTTCTTGGACTTCCCTATTCTTTCTTGTAAAGACTTTGCTAAGATTATCCGTTTTATTGCAGAGAATTTTAGTAGTTATCTAACAGTTCGGTAGTTAAAATGTATGATCATTTTCCTGTTCCAGGCGGTTTAAAACACGGAAACGGTGGTATCGGAAGTGCTAATAGCTCAAGAAGCACGAGTCCAAGCCAACAGCAGACGCTCCAAGGCGGGCTGTCATTTATACCTCAGCCTAGAAATCAGAATTCAACCAATAGACAACCTGCAGCTACCACGCCGAGGTGAATAATTATATCCGTTCAAATACGATTCAAGAATAAGTACCAGTAGTTTACCAAACAATTTGAAGAAATTTTTCCTAAATTACCGTTATATTTTGATTATTCCTTACGAGATTCACGTCTTGGAATTCTTAAATTACACATAAATTTTCCTGTGCTACAACTTCTTTAAAGTGCATAATTAAAGTAGAATCTACAGTTCGGAGTATATAGAATTATTTTCGATAGTTTCAATATTCAGTACGTAACACCTAACATTTCTCTTCGCCTACGTGAAATTATAGTAACTGAAATACTATTTGTTTCACAAAAAACACTTTGCCGAGGAACATTTTGTTGAGTTGGTTAACTAGTGTAAATAAAGTAAGGGAGTCTCTATTTTATCGAAGAAATTCTGAAACAAGCTTTGCATTCCAACCAGAAAAACTAAGAAAACAACCAGCATTTTATAACAATGGATAAGTTAGTTCTACAAAAAATAAACAATCTACAATAAAATAATTGTTTCTCGTTCTTCAATATGTGTTAAATAAACTCTCTGAAAAGAAATTCTATTCCATTTGTCACGCTCCCAAAATGAATTGTCAAATTTAGGTCCTTTTTCTGCCTCTAGAGTGGTTTTACCCTTTAAATTCTTGTACGGTCGATAATAGTCATTTAGCTTATATTCAAACTCGTCCTCTAATCCTGTCCATCGAAAATTACCACGAACTGTCCGGACAATCCGATACATTATGGAACAATAATATAATTTCCACGAAGGTCGAAGTAATGAATGCACACGAAACGTTTCAGCCCTCGAGCGTCGACGGTAGGGAAATCCAGCGGCGCAAGGACCACGCAATCATCGCCATACACCAGCACGGGGCCACCACCGGCTCAGCAAAATAAGAACTCTGTCCTGGACAAATTCAAGCTTTTCAATAACAAAGAGAAAAACCAAGATCGCGGTAAAGCTTCGTCGGGCGTGTCGAAGCGGACTTCCAGCTCGTCGGGGTTCTCCTCCGCGAAATCGGAGCACTCCGACAGTTCGACGTCGCTGTGCGATCAGACCAGGGTACAAGTGGAGTCGCCGAAGAGCCGCGCTCTGAAATCGAAGTTGCAGTCCACGAAGCCGGCGAAACAGGCGAGCCCGAAGACCGCGAGGAAAGAGCAAAGCAAAGCGCAAAGCAAAATCGCGCGGACGAAAGCTACGCCAGACAAGTTGGGTTGTTATAATCCGCCGTTGGAAGATGTCAAGTCGGCCGGCAAAGTCGGCGGCGTGGGTGCGAAGCTGGCTACGGATAAAAAGTCCTCGAATCTGCAAGATCTGTTGAAGCAACAGCCGGCGGTTCAGCTGCAAAAGTCGAATCCGTCGGTGTTGACGTCGGGCTCCAAGCAGATCGCGTCGCAGGAGACGAAGAACGTTGCCGGTCCGAAGAACGAGTCGATGCAACCGTCGGCCAGGCCCAAGATGGAGCTGCCAGGGAAGATATCGGACGCGAAGATTCACCTGCAGAACATGAAGATTCCACCGAACGGAGTGAACAAAGATCTGATACCGCAGAAGGGGTTAACGAGCAATACGAACGGAATGATCAAGCAGTCCGATCAGGAGGAGGTCTCCGTGACCTACGAAAACATATCAAGCATCGATCACACGTTGTCTATGAATCAGGCGAATTTGTTGGAGGAAAAGTCAACGATGGCCAAGCAGAAAGCCATCGTAGAAAATGTTCACTCGAACAATCATTTGGGAACGTTGGACGCCAGCCCGTCCAAGCAGCAAAATAAAAATATAATAGCGAAAGCCAAGGGTCCCAACGATGCGCAGGAAGTAGGTAACCCAAACGAAAAGCAAACGTCTACTTCTTCCGTCAACAATCCGGAAGACATGGCTGACAGAAAGATGAACATCGTTCAAGAAGGTTCCACCGGGCCGAGCGTTACGGCGAGTTACGGAAACACCGTTCCTTCTCAGGGCCAGGTTTCGAATGGATCGAACTTTGGTGCCAGCAAGCAGCTTCCAGGAATGAACAGCCCGTTGCAAGGTTCTCCTTTGAATGGTTCCGGGATCAGTCCTGGATCCAGCATTCCGAAGCCCACGGCCTTGGTGAAAGGCACTTCGAAACCACCGAAGGAAAACAACATACCGGGCGTACCGACGCCCACCAAATTGAAGGCAGACGTTTTGCATCGCAAGCTCGATCCCAGCACGGTTGCAATGGTGTCACCGATGCCAAGTATTTCGGATCTGATGTCCGAGAGCTCGCACAGCAACTCGAACAGCACCGGTCAAAGCAACTCCAGCGACAGTAGCGTTATTTATAGGCCGAGCAGTGAGAGTGGCAGCGAGATTAAAACTATACCCAATAGAAAGATTGACACGACCTTCGAACAAATGGAGAAGGTTAGTACCTTCGTTTGGTATCGTTACGATTGTTTGCTGCGGTGAAAATTTGATGCATCATGCTTGGAACAGATTGGAAGTGTTGATAGGTTGAGAATGGACTGAAGATTTGGATCTTTTTTTTTTTATTTTTAAATGATTTTGTTCAAGGGGTTAGTCGCAGTCAGGAAAATGAGAACGGACACTTTCTTGTGTGTGTGTGTGTGTGTTTTTAAGGTATTAAATAATAATTTTTATTAATAGTAATTTTATTAATAATACTCATCTGATACAATACATCATATTTTGCTGTTTCAAATATTTCATCAAATAATAACGTAACAAATTTTTAGATTCCACTACTATTTGAAAATGAATATGATATACAATACACGTAATGTAATTATTAAATAAATAACATGTACACAATTTCTTACTAGTTTGTGTATTAAAGTATGCACTCAATTATATATAAAAAAATAAAATATTGTTTATGTTATGGTGCAAAGCTTACTCGTAGACCGTCTGCATTTTCCAAAAGTGCTTACTCGTCAAAAGGTTGATAATCTTGATGAATTATAATTACAATTTGTAACAGTGCATTCTTGTTACCACCAAAAGGAATTCTGTACAGTTTTCTGTTAATCGTAGTCATGTTAACATGTCGGCTTCGGATGACGCAGATATACGTCATTGAGATTTTATATGCATGTATATGCATGTTTCAAAACAAATTTATAATACCTTATAAGTAGTTTATAAATGCCTTAGTTGGTGTTTCTTAAATTAGAACAATCGTGTACGTTTTCAATTGATTATTCTATTTTATCATTGTCGCTACTGGTTGTATACTTATACTGTGCCTCTAGTTTGTAGGTGCTTCGTCAACTCCTGAGTAACGATCAATATGTAGGAATGTAACACGTAACATACCCATAAACATGTACAGTGCAAATAACTTAATAATAGTTCAAATATTAGTACTTGAAACTCGAAGTACCTAAAAAATATATCCACGTATTTAAAAATCTTCCCTTTCATCTGTTCCGTGAACGAATAAAAATATAAACGTAGTCGCGATTTATTCGTCGGCGACGCGTATCGCATTTTAATATCTCTAAATCTTCCTGCTTACGATTACATCTAATTAATGGCAAAAAGATCAACGATGCCAGATATTCTCGCTTACTTATTCGTTAACAAATGCAACACATTCTGGATGCGTTTAGCTAGCGCTTTCCATATTCATGCCAGTCATAAATGGATAAAAGCCGCATTCTAGTAATAACTTTCCGCGTTGGCATCGAGTCAAGTATTAATTCATGCCCCTTTACAGGTCCTGTCTGAAAGTTCAAGTTGCGCTGGAGGTTCCATGGCGGACGACGAGGCCGAGATGACAGTGAAGCCCATGCAGCCTCTGCTCCGCGGCTACACGCCAGGCGCAAGGGCCCTTCAGACCTTGCCGAGCAGGACAACCGCGAGACAGTACACGATTCTTCATTCTTCTTCCCATCATCATGTCGGTCACGATTACGCGGACATCGACGTCGCCTCTGGCTACCTCAGCGACGGAGAGGTTCTTCGTGGCGGTATGAGCGTCGGTAGCAGAACTCTGTCTGACTTGTGCGACGGTTACATGTCCGAGGGCGGTGCTTCCTTGTACGCGCGCAGAATCAATCCTTCTTACGGCCACGATCACGAGAGGTAAGTTTCGATGGAACATTAATATTCGGTGTACCGAGTACATCGAGATGATATCTTGCAATTAATTTCGACCTTAAGATATCCATAAGGTAATATATAATACACACTATATAGTCGATAATATATAAAAAGTATATTTCTATGGTACAAAATTGAAAACAGAAAACAACATCCCGCCGTGATTGGAACCCGGGCCAGCAGCGTTACAACCTGATATTCTACCAACTGACACAACGAACCTTGCTAGATGCTTTCGTTACACATTTCTTAAGAAGACATACCGAAAGCTTTAAATCAAAATATCTCGAAAACGAAGGCCCGTTCTAAAAGAAGCCAAAAGCCAAAATGTATCATTCAGAGTTGGGAGATGGGAACGGAAGACATGTAAACCCTTTGGGGACACAATGAACCATAATTAAAATAACTTTCTAAATTTTTAATTGTACAGAGGGGCGGCGCAAAATTTAATCGAGCCCGAGTGTAGAAATTAAATTAGAATCCCGCCACGTAATGAAATCCAAAGATTTAATATCGATACAGCTTTTGCCGTTGACCGACAATATTGTAGATTAAAACCTTCGCGGAAAGAAAAGAAGACAGGTAGAAAGAGGGGAAGGTACGGAAGTAGGTCAGTGGTGATCATCTCGATTAGATTCACTGCATTGAATTTGGATTCGTCCCGGTCGAATAGAATCTCGTTGAAGCGTAGGCTGTCCCATCCAACTGATTCAACTATTCAATCTCATTTGATTTCCTTTGTACGTGCCGTGCATGTAAAACTATATTGGACGAACGACAATAATTTCTCGCAAATGTCCTATATTACGAGCCAGCCCCTCTAGGTAAGAAACTGTACCGCAACGTGCGCACGAATATAGGGCACGTTCGTAGGGAAGCTTTGATTGTGCCATTGACAATAATTCAGAGGGAATGGAAAATGAACGATTCTAATACGCCCTTCGCAGTCAAAGGGTTACATCGCATTGGCTTATCTTTCGAAGATGATTCTCTTGGAAACGATTCCCCGTAAAATTAAATACATTTTCAATAGCAACCTTCGTAACACGGAAAATGAAATAAATCGGACAATAAGTTCAGCTTCTTTTTACCTAGTCTAACTTAACACGATCGATTAAATTCATTAAAGAGCCGTATGCAGTTTGGTAGTCGCAAAAGAATCTTTATTTAGTCGAGTTATTCGTTGTTTTTAAATATCTGTTCAAACATGTGGAAAGTACAATTTATGAACACGTCACAGAAAAGAATTATCAAGAAATTTGGTGAAATAATAAATAATAATTGAGATTCAGCTTCGAGACTACGAGTTGATTTTCTGTGTAAACAAAATCAATAATTTTATTAAAATTAACACAAGTGACTAAATGAATTGTTAGGAGCTAGCAGTCGTTTCCATACGACAGTTTGACTCCTCTTTGCTATCTTTCGTTATCTTTCTACAATTTTTCTTAAAAAGTTCCCCGAAGTAACACGCGGCCTTTCAACGCAAAGTGATTTCTCACCCTCTGCGCTAGGCCAACAGAACCCACCCCTAGACCACCTGAACATCGGTGTTTCCGTAACGCACGAAACAGCCTGAGGCATAATCTGGTCCCTCTCCAGCAGCAGCTAACTCTTTTGGCATAACCAAGCTGCGTATCATCCGCTTGAAACCCGACGCGCTTTTCGGAAATTCAATATTCTCGCCCCCCATCTCGAGGGCTCGACCCTCCGCATCCCGCTGCCATCATTGAGAACCCCGCAAAACGAGGTGAGGGCACAACAAAGAAGGCCAGCCCTGAGAGAGCATATTCCGACGATTACGAATCCTGGGGCAACCTTTGAATACATTATCGTTCGCTCTCTCCTTCGTCTTGGTATTTCAAGAAGTTACGCCATCTTGAACGCGTGAAATAGTTGTCCTTTAGAAATCAATTAATTACGTGTTCGAAAAGCTTCAGTTTTTTGTTTAGATCATTTTGGATCACTTCTTACAGTGTACGATGTTACAAACAAAAAAATCATTTGTTTTGTTCAATGCGATTTTTTCCATATACTGATACATGTTTTAAGTACGGAAAAATAATACGTCTATTGTAAAAATTAGAAACGTGATTGCCGCATGGGAAGCCTTATTAAATAACATAAAAAGAAGCAGTTGTATAATTTCTAATGTTTATTTCTTCCTGAAAAAAAAAAAATAAATAATATTTTGTTATATCGGTTATCTTTGCTGTATATTTCTTTTATATATCCGCCAATTAAATAGTATTTTATTAATTCCATTTAAGTATCATTCGTTAATTATGGTAATAGAAGAATTACAGTTTTTTTTTTATTGCAAAAATCGACTCATTACATTGATTAAATACATTTTCAAAACATTATGATTTTTCTACAACTATAATCTGGCATATTAATAATTAATGAATCTAGTATGATAAATTAATTGCAAGAAATTATTTCTATTATTACTTCATTTTGCACCTTAATACAATTTATAAATTAAATTACTGCTTCAGCATGGAACCGTATGAACTGCCCTCGAGTTCTGTTTAATTACTGGTTTTACATAGCGAATAGAAACTACGTACATGGAATTTCGGTTGCCGGGGTGGATATTAAACCGCATACGTACTGCGTAATTATGAATTTCCAAGCATTCGGAAAATGCTGCCTTTTTAGTTTTCTCTTTCTAGCCCTATGGTGTTCTAACAAATTTCGTCTATAATTCGAATCGTTACAATTATTATTAATTCCATTCAAACGCTATGGAATGAATTTAGACACAGAAGTAAAAAAGCGAAGTTTAACGTTCTAAAGCAGACCTATGAGAATCACTACACGAAATCATTGAAAGAATATTCGCGTTTTTCGTTATTCAGTCTTTAAATAATTTATATCATTAATTTTAGGTATCAGAAAAACGATGTGTTTTTATTATTTGAAGTTGAATTCAAGGAATTTTCAATGCCAACAGTTTTATTACTGATTAAAAATATTAAGAGTTTCATTATAAAGGAGCAAAAAATTCGTGTTAAATCCGAAATTTGACATTGGAAACAAGTTTATAACTATAAATTTGTTTATTTAAATGTCATAATTACAAAGACACTCGATTAATTAAAATTTCATTCACAATTGTCTCCGATTGTACCGACCTATAATCTAGCATATTAATAATTAATGAATCTAGTAAGATAAATTAATTGCAAGAAATTATTTTCGAAATTATTTTAGTTTCGTTCTTAAAAAAATGATAGCGTACAATCGGTTGCATAAATACGTTCAATGTTGAGTTTGACAGTAAATACTTGGAAACTCCACGGGATTGGAGCGCCGTGTGCGCCTTTCGTCCTTAGCATCGAACAATCGTGAATGAGCAAGCAACAGAGCGAGAAATCAATTTAAGCTAGGGAGACGTCGCATTGGACGTAGCCGTACACAGGAAGATAAGCGTCTTTGTCCTTTGTCAGTGACGTTTAGTATTGTCCTTTTCATTCATCGGGATGGTAACCAGAAGACTAGGGAACTCACACCTTGCCTATTTTCAAATATACCGCAGGAAACATTTCTGTTGACTGGTAATCTACGCCTGGATTTCTCAAACTGGGGTTCGAGAGAGGTCTCGGAAGAAAATAAATAGAATCGAGTACATCGAATACTTTTAGACGCGTCGCTCTATTATTCTTTCAATCGAAAGAAATCGCATCGAGTAGAAGGATATTCCTGGAATGTAATAGTAGGCTGTCCCAAAAGTTTCTTTCGCTTTATTAATAAGTAATACGTGTACAATATTTTATGTTTTATGTTACATTACCGAATTGTGCACGATTCATTTTGCTCCATTACTGTTACAACATGAATATCTATGAAATTACATTCTCTATTTATAGAAACACGACCACATCAAATAATTGAATGCAACTCGCGAAAGAAACTTTCGGGACAACTTAATATAATTAATAAGAAAAATATTATTATTTTCTATTAATTTGGACCACGATTTCCACTCGTTCGATGCAGTTGTCCTGGCTAACCCGCGAAATTATTTCTCACGGAACTGCCATAAGTCTGTAACGGGTTGTAATAGCACGCTCAATCCTTTTAATTGTTTCATAAATCACCGCAGCACAAATAGGCAGCTTTTCATAGCTCGGTGCGTTTAAATGGTAATCCCTTGAGAATGTTGTATCCCACAAATTGTCGTAATACGATCGTTAATTTTTGCAACAGATTTAGCCAGTCGTTGGGATAGAATATTCATAAAATTTTAAACGTTTACGACTTGCTGGCGTCTCGTACTTTAATACTCGGGGGTGATAACCCAACCCCAGACCCTCTACTTTTTTATACCGCAACGTTTCAACGTCTCGTTTCAAAATCTTTGATGCAATGTAAATAATCCACTTTATTTTGCTCAAGGTAAATAATCTAACGAAGGATTTGAAGAATGTTCGATTATTTTCTATTTCTTGATATTAACTGTTTGAATGCCGATATATCGTTGTGTGCGAATCACTATTTGTTTGCGGCGAAAATGCCAAGTTTTAATAATTTGGTTACACGCGTTTAATAGTTTAGAACCCGATTTACTTGATTAACAATGTAGATTTAGACGATAAAGTAGTGACTTGTAATATTCTCACAAATAATTCGATTACGTACGTTATCTACGTTTTATCTCGTATATTCTACGCCAAATTAAAATTGAATCGATTAATATTTGTAATGCTTTCTACTTTCAATAGATATACAGTCAGTTCCACAAGTATTCGTATCATCTACGTCTACTGAAGAAATTTAATTATACAATAGGTTTGATGTTCGCAAACAAGTGTTTTATTTTAAATAAGTAAGTAAATACATTTTACACAGGTATATATTTATAATGAAAAATTTCTTCAACAGACATAAAAGGTACGAATATTTATGGGACTGACTGTATAGGTAAGAAAAGAGTGTATTGTTAATTAACTCAACTATATCGCGATCCTCCACCGGTCTACTATCGATTTAGCCATAGGTACCGTGAACTTCGCGACACCTGCTTCCTCGTGTAGAGAATAGAGATACTCCGATGGAAAAATGAAAGGATAAGTTGAAAACGAATAACTCGCCACTATTATGTTCCGGGATGTCATAGAAGTTGCACTCTTTACGTATGCTTGTTAAAAATTTGAATTTTTTAAGTTTGCGTATACTAAGCGTGATAATAATAATAATGCGTAATAATAATGTTTCATGAAAAGAAATTCTTATCGACTTTCTCGATCAATAAGGGTGATCCATATTTCTCAATGATTGTTTGAAGAAGAGTAAATTTAATAGACAGATAGAACTTTAGGGTAAAGACTATGTCAAAAAGGCATAAATTGATAAACATTCTAAATGCTACTACTGTTCTATTAGGTTAACACATCCAGTTTTCATATTGTTATTAAGAGAATAGAGATATAATTATAATTATAATTAATAATAGAAAATAATTCTCTTATTAATGTTGATACGGTCCAAACCTATTGAAGATAAAGTCAAACCCACACCCCACACCCCCACTACCTGCCATTTCTTATTTCTCTTGTCTGTAGTTTTCCTCGAGTAGCACCGTTCCACCTCATACATTTTTTCATATTTTTATTTGCCGTAAACGCATGAACTTCCGCAGTCTAGTGATTACAATAAATACCAAAACTTGAGTGAAAATTCGGTTGAATGTCTCGTTCGACAACTGCTCCAAATGCTTCGACTCTCTTATATCTCGATGTAATCATATTTCATAGAAAGAATAATAAACCTTCTTCAAGAATAATTCTTCAAGAATGAAGAATTTCTGTGCAGAGCTACGTGGGATCTGTGTATCGAGCAATAGTTTTCAGAAATACTAAAAACTCCACAGTTGTCTTGTCATTTAGTGACGAAGGAATCGAAGAAAGAAGTAAACAGAAGTGTTCGGAGCAAAGACCTCGTGAACAAGGGATCAGAGACGAAGACGCCATCCGGAGGAAGACGACGCCGACGGCGCGTGTCGTCGGTGAGACGACGTGAACCGAGATTGGCACGACGCTTGCGTGGAGTAAACGTGACGTCACGTCGATCGATCCCGAGGAGAACAGGGTTTCCCTGGCGCGATATCTGCCGGCGACGTGGCGCAACCTGCCAGGGTAGCTTAAGGCGCCACCGAGGGTGGTTCTTGCGCGAAGGTTGGCGGAGGGCGCGGAGGGTTGTTCTCGGGGGTCGGTTCGACGGGGAGACCCGTTCGTGGCGCGTAGGTGGTCGAAGGGTGGGGGAGCGTCGTCGCGACCAACGAAATCGTACGGATACGTGCACGAACGACGTGGAAGTCGTGGTTAGCGATAGTTCTCCGGGGACGGAGGAGCCGGCTGCTCTTCATCGCGTTCCTGTTCTCTCGTAAGCGGCTCGGCACGGCTTTGGCCAACGACGTTTCCACGGATTTACGCGAAATAAGTGAACGTCGACGGGCTATGTCGCGAGGCTACGAGTGCACGCGTTGAGAACGTCGTCCGAGTGAAGTACCAGACCGACAGGATCATCGCGACTTCGGAACACACGTTTAGGGTAAATTTTTACGCTTCGTTCGGTTGCACGGGTGGGATCGCGAGGCTTGGAATGATAACGATCAGGACGTTTCTTCTCAACTTGGCTTGCGCACGGTGGATTTTGTTTGGGTGATTGGTGCGAACTCTGGAAACGTTGACAGTCAAAGGAGTAAGTAGCGAAGGAACGTTAATTGATATTAGAGGCAAATTCGAGAAAAATTTAGAATCGATGGAATAAATAACGAAAGAAAATTGGACGTGATTAGATGTTTGAGAGAAGATGACAGTCAAAGAAGTACGAAGCGAAGGAGAATTAGATGAGATTGGATGTTTATGTTTGGCTAAGGGTGTTGTTCATAAATTCATACTTTTTTTTTTTTTTTATTAAAGCTATTAAACCCCCTACGGAATTATTAGCAATACGCGCATAGCTGTGCATATTATCGGTACATATATACATTTACATTATAATATATGAAATACAATACAATACAATACAACCAGACAATTTCGAAATAGAGTACAAAAACATGAATCAAGAATAATAATAATAATATCAAGAATAACAGGCTCATCATTAAGGATATACGCAATTGTTTTTCAGAAATTTATAAATAATTAGCAGTGGTTGAACGAGAGGCTTGTACAGAAAAGCATCCACCGTAAAATTCATACTTGAACACGGAAACAACTTGGAATTAATGTTCTGTCGTAGGTGGAATGACGAATGTCGGGTAGCTTTGTGAATAGTTGAGAATTGAGAAAGCTACGTGCAGAGAAAGTTTCTATTGCAATTAGAATGAATGATTGTCTTGAAGTACACCTATAGTTTCTTAACGAGTTGACACTTGGAGAGCCGTCGAGGAATGTTGAATATTGTATGTCGTTGCGACAACTTGAAACTAGCGTAAACAATAAGAAAAATTGGGAGTGGTAGGAAGTAATGGCAATGTTGAGATGCATGTTTCGTGACAGGTTGATACTTTCATTATAAAGTAAAATGAATTGCTAGCCTCCAAGTAATGTTGAATGTCGTATGTCGTTGCGACAAATTGAAATTAGCGAAAACAATAAGAAAAATTGGGAGTGGTAGGAAATAATGGCAACGTTGAAATGAATGTGTCGTGACACAGAAAACGGACAACAGACGACACAGGAAAACAGACATGTTAAATCATATAATCATAATGATATAATCAGAACAATATTTCAAATTTTAATGATGTAACTCAGAAAACAAACGGAGCCACTAAATTTTATTTATACTGAAAAAAAAAAAAACAAATAATTCTAACCACATTGTACGAATTTATAACATTTAATTAAGAAAGTTGCGAGACATAGTCGAGGTTGAAGCGAAAGAAAAAGTTAATGGCAATGTATGAATTTCATCTAACGAAATGGAAAATAAGAAGAGAACCACGCAGCTTCCTTCTTCCCTGTGCATAGTACGAAACGATGCTAGTGCCCTTAACGTAATTGAAAAGTTTTTCGACGGTAATAGAGATGTATATTAAATTAAATTCTGCTCTTGAAACAATTTTTATCCTCGAGTGCTCTGCATGCTCAGACGTTCATTCCTTGCAAAATTACTTTGGTGTGAATAGAATTAAAATAAAATAAAATTATGATAGCAAGTGTTTCAATTTCAAGAAATTTTGTTAATCAACGTACGACGTCTTTTTGAGCATTTTGTTGAAAGCGTTTCACAATTTATATTCATATTTTTTAGTCCTCTTTAGTTTATCAAATTGGTAAGCTATAATATAATGAGGAAATTATTTATCGCGAGAAATGTTATAACATTGCATACATTAATTATTCTTGTTAAAATGACAAATATGAAAAAGATACTAAGAGAAACATGAGAAGGAGGTTAACGAGTGGTTAAACAAAATTCTTGTTCCGTAATTATCATTACGTGTCTTGTATTTTGTAAATTATGATAATTATGAAAAATAATAACGTACTAATTATAAGACGTATAGTTATAAAAATGATTAAAATGTCAAGAATTGTAATCGTAAAGATGAAGAGAATTAAAACTATAGAAATGATAAGAATGAAAATTTTACGCATATTTCCGACGAAGTTAACGTGCCTGTAACACTACATCACACGTGAATGACTGGGAAAGAAATGTCGGGAAAGCATGGTAATAAGCCAGGCGCTTTTAATCGCATTGACGGGCGAAAGTCTTTCAGCCGCGAGGTGCTCACGTAAGCGCTGTAATCCTAATCCTGCGCGCGTGATTCGTGAATTATTAATGACACGATTCCACGAGACTTCCCAGGATTCGCGTCAGCGAATCTGTTACTGGCCGTGGCGTGTCAAAATACATAATAAAGCAAAAGCATCCACCACCGATCGGTCGTTCCAACGTTGACTTATACTACTTACGAGTTAATTAGCGAACGTCCTAGACGCGCCGAGTCTGTCCCGTCAGCTTAACAATCGCAATCCACGGCCCGGATCTTAATCTAATTTTAATTTGCTTCGCTGAACATATTTTTTCACGTGCGGTACAGTTTCGTGAGGTTTATTTTAAAGGACCTTGAGGGTGTTCCAAGTTTTCTCGTGGAACGTTGATTTTACTTTGGTTTGATCACGCGATGTACGCAATGTTACAAGCTGTTCTCTCAGAAACTAATAAAGATATCGACTTTATTTTTTCCTACAGTTAACCCCTTTGACTGTGAAGCATTGATTGAAAAATTGATTTAACGAACATAAACAAAATTTCTCGGAACCCATTTCTCGA